CATGCTGTGCTAAAAATCCTTAACCTAATTTGGTGTTCTCAGTCAAATATAACCGGTCTTTTAAAAATTAATTGTAAATCTCTTGTTATGCTATATTATTACCAAATATTGGTTTCAATCAGCTTGTTTTTTTTTTATTAGCACAGGTTTTATATTTCTTTTATGAGCTTACTGATCGTAAACTTCATGCACCTCTGTTTTTGAATGAACATAATCCACAAATAATGCTTTTTCACTCACATTGCATAAGCGCACATCAATTAGGTCTACAATCAACAAGTTAATAAAAGAAATAAAAACCTGTGCTAACTGACAGAAAACAAGTTAATAAAAAGATTGAATCCAATATTCAATAAGCATAATGAGAAATTTATAAGCATTTTTTTGTAGGCTTGTCATTTTTGATAACAAGATGTGTAACAAGATGGAAAAAAATCAAAAAAATAAAATAAAATAAAGAAATAAACAAACTGTTTTTGTGATTAAAATGAACAATTATTGAAAGTATAAATGCAAAGCAAAATTACATTAATAATTTTCTTTTTAAAATGAATTGCAATAATGAGATTTTTTCTTGTTGCGGTAAATGAAAATGTTTAGTGTTGTAATAACAAGAATGTGTTTTTTTTGTATTACAGAAATGTAAAATTTTTTTTTTTTTTTGAACAATTTAATGCTGGTGTAATGTTAAAAGCTGACAAAAATAAAAGTAGTTTTTTTTCAAAGATATTAATGACTCACTTTGTGCTCAGGTGAGAGATTTATACTCATCCAAATATTTGTCTAATTTTATTCTTATAGAATGAAAATGACCCTCCTCCTTGTTTCGCCCATCTCTGACCTGCAATAGCAAATCATGTTTCACAGCTGTAAAGTAAACTAAAGGCTTTTTGGCTTTTAAAAAGCTCCTTTCTAGTGCTGTCAAACGATTAATCGCGATTAATTGCATCCAAAATAAAAGTTTTTGTTTACATAATACATGTGTGTGTGCTGTGTATATTTATTATGTATATATATAAAGACACACACATACCACACATGTATTATGTAAACAAAAACTTTTATTTTGGATGCAATTCATCGCGATTAATCTTTTGACAGCACTAGTTCTTTCATAACATATGTTCCACCACAATTTAATGTTTTAATAGGAAATACATCAAATACATCAGATTTTAATCTGAGTGTCCTGTTGCAGATGGAAAATCAAAGAGTTGTTTGTTTGTTTACTGAGGAAACAGGAAGTGCACTGCCTAATGTCAACAGATCGCCTTTGAAACGTGTGCTGCTAATGCTCTTACTGAGATTAAACCACTGAGAGAAACAGGTGAAGATGAGACGAGACAGAGCGTCTGAAAGCAGATAACAGCAAAGATCAAACAGAAGAAAAACACACAGTGACAGAAAGACTGTCCACACCAACACAGAGAAACTCCGAGACAGATAGAGAGAGAGATTCAAAGGGTCAGAGGAGGAAACCTGACAAGAACACGTCTGGATTGTACTTTACACAAAGATCAAAGGAAATAAATTGTTATTTATTTATTAATAATTTATTAATTTTATTAATTAAATTAATAAAAAAAAGTATATTTTAAGATCCAATTTATATTTAAAAACATTAATGTAATTTTACTGTTTGTATTGAAATTTATTCAAATTATACTTTAAATTGAAGCAGTATATAAGTATTTTATTTGCAGCAATTTTCATTAATTCACTGTGAAAAACTTATATTGCTTCAATAATAAAGTACAAAATTTGTACTGAATTTAATGTAAATATATGAAAATATTACATAAAATACAGTACAAAAAGTAAAATTACATGAATATTTATGTTGTAATTTAGTAATTTTACAATAATTACAATAATTTAAGTTAATGAAAATGCTATTTTTAGCATTAAAGTTGCATTCATATTTTTAATTTAAAATGTATTTTAAAGGGGTCACATGATGCGATTTCAAGTTTTCCTAGCGAGCGAGTGAGAGAGCGCGCGCGAGAGAGAGAGAGAGAGAGAGAGCGAGCGAGTGAGAGAGCGCGCGAGAGAGAGAGAGCGCGCGAGAGAGCGAGAGAGAGAGAGAGCGAGATAGTCAGATCACAATGGAGTCAGATAGCTTGACC